TTTCTTTTTCACGTTTGTCTATGAACTCCTACAAAGAGTTCTATGTAAAAAAAGAAAGTGTTTGAGAACGAATATTCTTCTATGTCCAATATTTGGCACACAGTTATTCCCCATCTAAAAAGTGAAATTCTTCCTTACTATTCAAAGGTAAAAAATCTCAAACACGGTGATGATTAATTTAATTAAAAAGTGAGCGAAATTAGCGAATTGTTAAAAAATAAATGAATACAAAGTATATAAAGGTGGAAAACATATTCTACATAATAGCAACTAAACTTACTAATGCATCCGCAAAAATCTCTTTTCGTTCACCTTCATGTACAGCTTTCCAGATAGGTTCATCAGCAAAAAGTATTTCTGCTTTGGAGTAACGCATAGTTGGTCGTACCTTTGAATTATTCTGCAACCATTCCTCCAAATCCTCTTTTGCTTTTTTGATAGCGAGACGTTTCTCATCCTTGAATGTCAAGCAGAAGTAATAAAATTAAATATTTCAAATGTTCATTTCGCTGCAATAATTGGAGCTGTTCATGCGATGAAGTTTGCGTATATTGGCAGTCTTCCAGCTAAGAAACACATATCAAAACCTGAACTTCACATCTTGGACTTTCCATCTGCTAACCTACTAAGAGCTACCTGGCTGGTCTTCACAGTCAGTAGAATCAGAAACTTTCCATCTCAATAACTTTAACCGACCGACATCTTTCCAACACTTCACACCATTTGCTATTTTTAGCAACATAGGTCTATATTAATTTCACATAATATCCAGAGAAGTTGTAAGGAGTTTCACATATTTAAAATTATGCCGTAATCATTTACCCACTTTCTAAGTCTTTCAAGAAGCAAAGAAAACAGGATGGCGCAACACTTTGTTCGAAAGGAAACTGCTGGGTCGATCTTTTACAGGTTATTTAAATATGTTATTTAAAAGAAATATTACAGGTATTCAAAAAAAAAAAAAAAAATATTTTACAGATTATTTAAATATTACAGTTATTTAGATATTAATCCGCAGATGTAACATTAGATAAATTTCATCGCATTATGACTTATCTAATAATTAAAGTATGTAACAAAGCGACCATTAAATAAATGCGAATTTGATGTAAATTTAAAAGAATTAATTAAACTATTCCAACTTCTCGCTCTTCTTTAGAGTTACGGGGCTGTTACGTTCCAAACAATTGAAGTGGAAAGAGAGGCCATTATGGTACGACGTGTATGTAGCTAATCCACCACATACTGAAACTTCTGCAGATACATCATTTCCGATCAGGAAATTGTATTACAAGGACGATATCGCTATGGCGTGAGTCACTATGCTTTTCAAATCTCCATAAATTCGTCAGCATTACATACTCGAAAAAAATGTTCAAATCACAATTAAAAGAATCATATCTTTCTTTGATTTCCTCATAGTCTATCTCAACTCTTTTATAGCAATAGCAACTCTTTTATAAACATTTTACGCTTATTTCAGGCGATTTTATAAGCAGTTCCGTTCATTGGGGGCTATAAGTATCAGTAATGAAGAGTCGGAATCACTTTGTAAAAAATTCACCGAACTTTATAAGACGATCGGAAAAACATGGCCTGAACTAAACGACGATGAGCACTATCAAAAAGCTTTGGTGATGCTGAATAAAAAACTTATCTTGGAAAAGAGGGGAATAAGCGGACAGAAATCTTTGCAGTAAAAAAGGAAAAAAAATTGATCATGCTCAAATAATTTTTGTATTTAAAATATTAATAAAAGTTCAATAAAATACCTGTCCTACTTTCTAGACTTTTATGACATTTCTAGTAACATGTAATTTAGCTTAAAGAAGAGTACTTTTCCCTCATTTATGTACTATACACTTTGGAAGTGCACTCTGAAGATAAGTATTTCGGATAAAATCTTTAACAGCTTCACAAGAGTTTGCTGTATAATGGAATTACAACAATTTGGGTATTCAAAGTTGCAATTGCGCACTATTAATTTACAAAGGCCGAAAGAACAGTATGAAATGAAAATAAATGTTGACAATCAAAAATCTCCCAAATTAGCAATGGAAAAAAACGCAGACATACCCTCTCTTCTTTTTGCCTCTGCACTTTCCATGCATTGAATAACTGCTTTTTCTCACTCACTTTATTCAAAATCCGAAATCTAGGATCATGCTGAATATATCTCATTGCTTGTTCCCATGAGCTAGTAGATGATATCTTCCCTTCATTGTACTGAAAAATAACACTGAATGTTTACGAAAAAAGACATTTTTTTTTAAATACAACCAACTTATTTTCATTGAAAGCATTAATTTACCTTATCTCGTAGAAGATCTCGGAATTTATCACTTTGTTTCTGTTTTAAATCTTTTTCTTCTTCTGCATCTTCTGCATCTGCTTCTTTCACATTCCCTGTTTGTTCCTAAACATTGAAGATTGAGTATCTAAAAACTGCAAATACATTACACTGAATTCCACTTGATAAAATTATGTTTTACATTAGGTTGTTCAAGCGACTTTAGTGTGGCCAGCACTGCTTTTTCCAACTCAGATTCTCCACCACTCTGCAATTCTGTTTTTGATGTATCACTCCCTTTCGACTCTACGCCACTTTTTACTGAAAACATTTTCCAAAACTGCCATGAGTTTTTTCCAAGTATGAATAAAGAATTCTTTGTTAACATGCTGACCAAAAGATAGTATGCAGATTTTGAACTAATATTACTGAAGTGGGTGCAGCTTTTTCGATTAATCTGGAAACGTGATGCACTGATGAACCTGCACCATCTTTTTCAACATCCTGCTAATAATTACGAAAAGCACCTTTTGTTACAACTGAGGGATCAAAATCTTTCGGACAAATCCAAGTCGTCTCTTTAGTTTCGATATTATAATAATAAGGTCGCCCTTCGGGTGTTTTGTATTCACGCCATAGTTTTGCAACAGCTAATTTCTTCTGAAAAGTAGAGTGATACTTAGAGAAAGTACGCAGTATTCAGGAAAGAAAATTCATCGCATACCTCCTCGGGAGTTTTTAACTCATCCGGTTTTTGCCATGATGATTGCTTTGTTACTTTGTTATAGTAATACACGCGTCCATCAGATGCTGTGTGTTCGGACCAAATCTGTAATGTTTTGAAAAGATTATATTTCAATTCTTTCTTGTATAATTTACATGAGAATATCATATATGTTACTATTTATCAACATACGTACATCACTGGTGACGGGGGTTGTACCAACAGAAGTGCGAGGAGACTGCGTTGCAGCAGCTATTTCCATCTGCATCTGAGGTGGAACAAGCATTGGTCGTGGTGTAGTAGCAGGTGAAGTTACCGATACTTGGGGAAGCTGTAGTTGTGTTGGTGCTGAGCTCACAGTCATCATCGGTACTGGAACAGAGATTAGGTGAACAGAATGTCGAACTGTGATAATTTCTAAATTGAACTGCCTAATAAAAAGGCTCACTTCTTTGCAGTGGTGGCATGATAACTTGTTGTTGCAAGTATGTTGCCTGTGATGCAGCTGCTGCTGCTGCATTTGGTGATATATTTATCAAAGGAGAGAACGCTGGTGGTCCACCGAAGGGTAGCATTTTCTCCCTGTAACTTGTATGCTTTGTCCTGTTATAAAACGAGTATCGTCCTTCGCCCTGAATACTGATACAAATAAATCTGAGATTCCGCCCGATACCCTCTCTGCACTTCCATCCGTTCTCAGAAAGTAGTTAAAAGAAAATCGCAGAAATTAGCAGCATTATATCTTCCTCTCTTATCACCACAACCCACCGAATAAGACCGATTTCACAAGATATAATTTAACTACTAGTGAAAAAGTTGGTAGAAGATACCACTTCAATCTAATTATCGTATTTTAACTCGCAACTCAATAATATGTATAATATATATTTGTAAATTGACCACTTTTCACTGTCCTAATTACAACCACACTTGCTAAAGAGTTTCAATCATTTCATTTCCAGATCATTTCCTTCAAAAATTTGTGGCTCGTAAATTATTAGACAATGAAAAATTTATTGAAACTTAACAAAGCTTCTACAACGATTAATAAAAACATCCGAACACGAAATTCAAATCTAACACCACGTCGATATATAATGCAAGCTACATTTTCCAATTGTACTCCCTCATGAAATAAACGTTCAAAGTAACTCAAAAAAGACAAGGCTACAAATATATATATATATAATATAATCCAGCAAAATAACAACTTTATTTAAAATAAGCATACGAAAAGTAGCACAATAGACCCGGAATTATACGATGTGAATGAGACCCGGTGGCTTCATTTATATTTGAATCTTTCTGACAACAGCACCACCACTTGCTATATTAATATTAAGTGAAATGAACACCTTTATACATTTTCACAACATATATATATATATATATATATATATATATATGCTTAAGTTAAATAATCTCTAAGATTGTCCTTTTATATAAAACTTCTGCACAATTACAGTTCTCAGAAAACTATTCGTTAAGTCAAGCATCTAACTTGATAAGTGCAAAAAAGCAACAAGCTTTAAACTTATCTCAAACAATCCAATTATATTATACTATATTAAATGAAAATGCACCCATACCGAAAATTTTCTGAAAACACATTGATGGAAGACACGTATTTAGAGTAAAAGAACGTAAAATGAAAAAATGATAAAAGTAATTTAAATTAAACATAACGAGTACGAAGCAGTCAGTGAAGTTTGGCAGGCACCTACGACTGAGCTTCTCAATTCTGAACTAATAATCAAATCCTTTACCCCTCTGATGATGCGATAATAAATAGACTAGAACTATCGAAATGTATCCAATAAAATGAATTTGTCGGTGGGTGCTATAACATAAAATGCAATAACAGAACATACTGAATCTATTATGAAAATTAGAAGAGAAATATTATTTATAAAAGGCTAGAAGAAAAGCATTTGAGAATACGACAATCTTCTGTTCACCACTGATTAAGTTGGAGTTAATCTTATATTACGAACAATATATTTCATCATCATTACTTCCAATTACATCATCCATTGGAAAATCAGGACTGCGATCTAAATTATTTCTATTAAACACTAAATAGCGGCAATAATATCTGGGATACTTTTAATTTAAAAGATATTTAAACAAAGTGAAATGAGATTCCGTGTGTTATTAGTTTTGAAAACGTTATAAAATCAGTAGATGAGAATTACATATCCCATGATTTCAATGTAATATTACTTTATAAAAGTGAATACAAATTCATCCATTTTAAGACCCAATTTCTTAATAACCATTATGCCAAGTGCTATAACTTTTTTCGAAGTAAACCGAATGCATTAGGACTATGTCCACATATTATGCAGGCAAGTAACGCTCTAAATCCATAAACTATTAGCTGAAATTATCTATTCATTGGGGCAGATGAATAACAACTTACTTCTCTCAGGTGGTGTAACTGGTGGCTCTAAGACCAAAAAGCGTAGTATATCTGAGAGTGAAATGATTCCTATCACTTTCTCATCGTGGTCAACAACCAACAATCGATGCACTTCGGCAAGAACTATCATTTCTACAATCTTCATTAATGAATCATCTGGTGAACAACAGCGTACTCCCTCAAACCACTGAAAATTGAACTTTTTTAAAGAAATCTGTTGATTTCTTATGTATTAAAAAAATTTAATTGGTAACAAAAAATGAAGCTTACATCAACACGATACTGTAAAGCTTCCCGCGCTGTAACATCCAAATCAATATATGACTTATTAGCCGCTAAATTTATAGCGTCGAATTTAGCATAAATGTCGATAACCTGTAAAGTGTCCTAATCGAATTTTTTAATGTATTGAATTATTCACTATGAATTTTTGCAGACTTACAAATGCATTAACAATACCTCCCACATAATTTTCATAAGACTATTCAAAAATAACTATAACTGCAGTAAGCCCATCATCTATTAAAAGAAAAAAAATTCGATGAGAATTTTTACTTAAATCGATTTTTCGGAAAATAAAACGTACTTTCTCATTTTCGTCCAATACAGGTAAAGCAGACACCCGTTTAGAAAGAAATATATCCATAATATCTATTAGTGAAGTATTCTCAGTAATTGTTGAAACAGCATTCCATGTACCAATTCCTAACTCACGAGGTGTCTTCTCCATGAAGGATGGACAAGGTAGATCGATCATCTAAAATCATCCAAAAAATCCTATAAATTCATTCAGTATAATTTTTTTGTTCAAGAAACGAAAGTCTTACAGAAATTTAAGATAGCACCAGAATTAATCTTAGTCAAATTTTAATCAAGTTATTCCTAACAAATTTCCCAAAAAAAAATTCGAAACAAGTACAGCTTCAGGCACTGAAATTAACGTAACTACTTTTACAGCAAAAATAGCTGAAACCAGTTATTAAAGAATCGTCACTTCTTCAAGAGAATTTTTTTGAAAATGAAAACAAATACTAACATATAGATACAGGAATTTCATCAAACGCTTATGAGTGAGAATGAAAGCGATATTGCCAGTACACTCCTCTACCACCGGCAAACGATGCACTTTCTCTTTACAGAGAACTTGAATTGCTTGGAAAAGGCTAAATAAATCTCCTTTAAAGAAGAAGTTTCGAAAGAAAAAACAGAAGACAGAATTTTTCAGTTATAAAAAAAGCTCGCAAATAAAAAACATAACTAAATTAAAATGGTAGATGAAGGATGTATGAATGAATACCTTTCGGAAGGATTTATAGATACCAGAGGTTTCAAATAACCATCCCGCTCCAGTTCTTCACGCCAAATTGCTATTTTATGTTTTTCAAGATCCTGCATGCCTTCACTTTTTGAATCATTCTTTACATAATATCTGTAGGATACGACTTAATAAAAGCCACATGGAAAAAAAATTACAATGACACTTCAAGTTGTATTCTTTGCGTAAAAGAGCACAAGATTTTAAAAACATGGAGTCCCGGAAACAACTCAAATAATTTACAACCAATAAGTAAAAAGTATACGGTTGTAAGTATATGAGAGAACGAAGCTTATTAAAACAACGCTACAAAAGATTTTATAAAAGATAAAAACCAAATCTGGTTGTCTTCATAGAGTTTGCAAAAGCGTTGATGAGACAAAATATTAGTGAAAAAAACCCTAAAAGTATAATTCTTATGGATTTGCACTGCTGCGACATTTCCATAGCAGAAAACATTCATACTTTTGAAGTATTCGAATAAAATCCGTAATAGTGAGCATGCCAACAAATTCTTGTTTTCTGCTATCCCATAGTGGGGCTGCTCGAACTCCATTGTAGATAAGGGCGAAAAAGGCCTTCTTCACCTATAAAATAGTTGTGCAAACAAAAAACACTGTCCTTGCAACTTCTAATCTTGACTAGAATATTAAAAAATAGAATAAAATAAAAAGAAATTAAGACGCTCTTGATAAAAAACACTATTATTTATATCGAATTATAACCATTTTACTTTCTTTTTGCAGCCCCTTTTCAACAACTAATTCCATCCACATAGTAGTTTTTCATTCCTCTATGCTATAAAAATGTTTACTCCTAAAGGTTTTTATTACTCCTAAATATTTAAAAATGAAGTATCCTTAAATTAATGAAGAGTATGAATTTGAAACTAGTTAAAAATCTTGGAATATGGAAATAAACCTAACCTGTAGTTCAGTATCAAAAACTACTAATTTCGTACTTATAGGAATTAGATCGTAGCATTTGTGTGCGCGCATAAACGATGAATAAACAGCATCCTGACTTTCTGTAACTTCAACTCGTATTTCTTGAAGATTATTGGTTTAAAACACCAAAAATAAAATGTAGCAAGTGTTCAAAAATCTATTATTTTATTAAAATTATGAAGAAAAATGGCTAAAAATAAGGGAAGCGAACCGAAAATAACTTTGAAGAATTCGGGAGTAGCTCCATCATAAGACGGGTACAGTGGTAACTGCTCGGACGACAAGTTAAATGGACTCTGGAATTAATAACTTTAATTAGAAAACAAAAACTTACCCACTCTTGCGTCTGAGGGCCATCTTTCAAAATCGTATATGATTGGATGTCCATATCTACTAGCAATGAAGAGGCAGGGGACAAGAAAATGAAGCAAAAGTTTCCCGAAACTGTTGAAGTGAAAGATTAGTGGAAATCGTTGATGATGTACAGGCAGAATTAATGGAAACGCTACAGCTATTTCTTAACATATTTAAGGAAGCGTCCAATGTTCCAATACTGCCTCAATTATACGACATGGAATTTTCAATGAGACGTTTTTTTAATATATTCTGGAACTGAGATTTTAGTTGTCCAAAACGTAGTTGCTGAGCATTAGAATGGATAAGAGAGCTATTTTATTGACTGACAATGATAAAAAAGAAGTTTTTTCCCATAGACCGAATCTTTTTCGTTTTTACCGGCATCATCACTTTGCCTGTACAGTACCTTTCCTACAACTACATTTGTACAACAAATAAAATTCAGAAATCTCCAGTGTAAAACAAGAAATTTAGCAAACTATAGAATGTGATAAAAACAACCGAACGAAAGACTAGAGATAGAAAAATCTAAAGTTGAAAGTTTAACCGAACTATGGCACTACAACTGACTTCACTGAATGTGTAAGTATGGACGGAGAATTCATCATACATTAAGATATAGAATAAATTCGTTATGCATTAAGATACAGAATATGTTTTCCCGCAAACAAACAACAGCAATCGAAAATTCTCTAATTTGCACAACTGCCACTAATTTTACTTATTGTTATAGAAAACAGTGAAAAGCAGATATTTATACGACTTATAGTTCCAAACATTACGCATTTTAGGTGAGTTCGTTTAGTACGTTCTAAAGAAAAACTACTAGTTTTGAGAACACAAAATCCAACAAAAGAAAATTGACGAATCCAAGCGTGTTACTATAATGAAGAAAGATAGACGACTAATGAAGTAGTTATAAATAAAATTTTATGCAACTCAGAAATGCTACATGATGCAGTCAACATCACTCTCATGAGTTTATATTTTGTTGAGCTGCTCTGTCAATTTCTAGAGTATAACTGAGCCATTTCTCAAAGTTAACCGACAGGTTTGCAGCCAATAAATTTGCAGCAGAAATTTTAACTTAATTAATAAACTTAAAATCCTCGGAAATATGCCAATTATGTAATCCATTCATCGTGGTGTAGACAGACTTATTCAGTTTCAAGTAATATCTAATTACCCCACTCTAGTTTACTTCTTTCTTGACATTCACATATTTCTCAAATAGGAACAAAATAGGAAAAGAATATCTTAGAAATCATAAAAGCCATAATTTCAATCTCATGGAAATGTTCATAAGTAACTAATGTTCGGAATCAATTCGAAACTTAGAAAGTAATAACAGTAAAATTTTGCTTTGAATCGTTGATACTGTACAATAATTTGTGTGTTTTGCTCTCACGTTTGCTTGAAAAACTGTCCAAAAACTCTAATATCTATTATCAGTGGTTCATGTAAAATCAAAAATAATGTGCGAAACGAATAAACTAGGATCAAAACTTTAGCACGTGAAGAAAGGAAGAAAGGAAAATAATAACATAATAGTAGAAGTAACATAATAATAATATTAACATAGTAAATTTTATAGTAACAAGTTTTCTTGTAGCATAGAATAAAAGTCGGAGTTGACTAGCATGTAGAAAAAATATGGAAAATTGTGCACTATAATAATATTACAGAAAAGAGACATGGGAAATTTTCTAAATTCCTATAAAGAGATCTAAGTCATTTAATCATTATCGTGATGATTCTCGAATGCAGGTTATCAATACGTTAATAAATTTAGAAAACATAGAAAAAATAGAGCAAAAAAACAGAATTTACACAATGCCACAATCACAGAGGCGTCTACTGATTTGAAATCAAAAAAGACTTTATAATATTTCAGAAAGACTTCAAATTTCGAGAATGTTATAATTTAACTAATTGTTAAATCCAAGCGAATCCAAGCGTATTATAGTAACACGCTTGGATTCGTCAATTTTCTTTTCTTGTCGCAACGTGTTTCGAAAGCTCATCGTTCTGCCTTGTCCTTATCATCACTATATTCAAAACTAAACAAAGATGAACCCGTTACATAATATATTCAATGATAAGCAGTTTCAAGTCTTCAGAGCAGATATGACTGGCACTAATTTTATGGGGAATTTGAATATAAGTGTGTAGAATTTAACCAAGTATAAGAAGTGAATTTTAATCTTTCTAAATAAAATTGTAGAAACTAAATGATGCCTTGTAAAACACTGCAACAGCTATCGCAAGAGTATATACTGTATGACTTTGGAGAGATGTTGCTGTCGATTTTATGACGACCGTATCATTGAAACATCTGTTTGATAACTTGAAAAAAATAATGAATAAAGTTGGGATTAAAAAAAAACACCTAAAAAAAGCGAAATGAAACTCCAGTGACCTTATCGCAAAATTAATCTAAATTTAATTTTATGTCAAAGAAGACGTTCATGTAGAAGAGGGATGAAATGAAGAGATTATGATAGTCGAAATGCAATCTAGATTAAGAAGTCTGAGTAATGCTACTTGCTAGTGTTTTTTGGGAAAAAATTATCTAACCCAACAAAGCAATATCGCTATTAGTCCGAGCAAGAAAGATAAGAGAGACTAAGCTACAGAACTGAATTTGCTTGTTTGTCATCAAGATTGTTCAGTAGCATATCTCTTAATGACTCCAGGGTGAATGAAATTTTTGAATTTAGGGTCAGCAAAAACCACTCCTATAAATTTACTATAGATTAACTACCACAACTACATTTTCAAAAAGAAAAGAGAATTGTGTACTGTATAAATGTGTAAATTAAAAATTAGTCAAAATAAATAAATGTAGCAATTTCACAGTACAGAAAAAGAAAGTATAGAATAAAGTATTTTACCAATCTGCTTAAAAATATAATTATTAATTCCAAGTGCATGCGTCATACTACGAGAGATTCATTAAGCATCAAGAGGATGAAATGTGCACGACGCAGCACAAAAGTTCAGTTCTTCCCACTTCAGAATGAATTTTTTTCAAAACCCGCAGTTTTAACTCTTTTACCATATAAAATGGATATAACTTCCATACAGTATTTGTAAAAGCGAAATCAGTGCGGGTTATAAATATATAGGACATATGACAGAACTTTCAGAATTGATAACTTCGGTCACTAGATAGGCCACTGACCCTCATTTCCACCATTTCTAACCTCCTAAGCTTTTAAGTAAAACTGGAAATATTGCAAGATATATCTAAGAATTTGCATCATTATTTTTGACAGTGTCTAAATTAAATACGATGAATGAAAAATGTGAGAATTAAATGAGTTTGGCATTAGCTCCGGAATATTTCCCAAAATTTCAACACTCTGAACAATCGAAAACCAAGAATAAATTATGTTCACATTATAAAAAGTGACAAATTTAATTTGCAATAAAAAGTAAACCTCTTTGATAAGAATTGCATAGTTACTGAACGGTGACAGTGGTTCAGGCTCAAAACGTCGTGTAATTTGTAATGTATTGGTATTAAAAGCTGCATGTTCTTTGCTAGTATGTGCTGAAATAAGTTTGCATTAACAAAATCATAAACTTATTAACTAAGCAAATTCATATTTAGTATTCAATATAAGTGAAACTGAATGCAGCTTTCATTATAAAGCTTTCACAACATCAAAATTTTTATACAGCAAGAAATTTCAAAGACTTCAATGTCAATTCCAATTCAGACTCTTTGCAAAAATGATAGCGGAACTTACTCAAGGGAGACTGGTGCTTTTCAAGTGTATCATATCTATCGACCTCGAGATGGAGAGGATTGGAGTGACACTGAAATAGAAAACACAACACAAAATACTTTCTTCATTGCTAAAAATTTCATATCTATTCTTCAGGGGTATATTGAAGTTACTGTGCTCTTTTAAGAGTGGTTTTGCAATTAACTGACAAGAAAAGTAAGTAAAATAATCGTGCCGACTAAAATTGATCAGTCAGTTTACATCGACAAACGCTACTGAGTTTTCATCTCTATTCTTATTACCTTGGTGAGAGTTCTTTGCAAGATCATTTCAATATTAGCCCAACAACTACCAAATACATGTTGGAAAAATCAAGTGTGTAGTAAATGTACGAATCAAATCATACCGGCAGGTTCCACATACTTGATCTCATTTCGACTGCACTTGATGGTCCATGCCACTGATTATCAATATCTATGACTGCAACATTTGTAGGTTTTGCATCAACAAATAGATGATTCGATGGTATTGACGAACTTGAGCTTTTCAATTCTGGTAGATCTGTTACGCATACGCTATGCCTTTCATTGCGAACGCGAAGGTTATGTCCTGAAAATGTATTCATAAAATCACATTTTTTAAATTGGTTAAGTTTAAGATGGAAAAATTAAATACCATTTCGAAATATATGATTGTTGTAAAAATTGCCTTTATCATCTTCGATCTTATTAGCAGTAATAAAAGTAAAACAACTCACTCTTTGATTGTTTTTCTAATCTATTTGGAAATAGCACTATTGTCCCCAAGCTTTGACGACAAAACAATGGACTGCCTGTTGCATCTGAACGAGACCTTGATCGAAACGCTGTACTAAATAATGAATCTGATTGTAATGAACCCATATAAGTTCCAGGTGGTGTGTCATGCGTAGCTGGAGGATGTCCAAGATCTGTAATTTCCTACACTAAAGTAGGAATATAAATTATGCGCATTGCTTGAAACTTGAAATTTGTTGTGAGACTTGTACACTAAATCCATAGATTAAAATGCAAGAGATACCACAATTTAAAAAAAAAAAAAGTGAACAAAAATGAACTGAACAGCAAAAGGAAGAAGCTATAGGCTTGACGAAACCAATCTAGTAATAGATTCGTACAAAAATGATGGGAAATCACACCTTCATCAAGCATTTCATTATCACAAGCAGATATATTGAGTGACTCACGATACGTACGTAAATTCAGGCGTTCTCGAAAGTTATCCATTAAAGTATGCTCCGCCCTGGAAGAAAAGTAGAATGCACAAAATGATATATGTACTGAAAACAACCGTTTTAAAAAATACCTTTATTTCTGCGATTTCACTTTGCAGCGAAATCTAGCAGACAGTTAGTGCATGTCAAAAAGTCACCGTCTGAAAGATGGAATCGGCACGTCAAACTCAACATCTCCGGACCCACGTCGAGTATAGACATTATGTTGATGACTGTTCTCACTATGACCTTGACGTGTTCCTGGTGTATACGATGTCATTGCTTAATTCCTAAAACATCCTCATTCAACCTATATATATATATATATATATATATATATATATATATATGCAGATAGCGTTTAAGGATTATATTAATCCTATTACATATATAATATGAATTATTTAAAACTTAGTTGACGACTTACTTAACAAGCAATGTTCATTCGTAAAATATCTATTCCAACCTTCTGCGAAAGATAAATAAATCTCATTACATTTCCTAGTAGTTTACATAAACTCATTAACACAAATTATCGAATTGCAGTTCCACAGAAAAAGGAAAACAATAATGAGCTAAAATTTTAATCGGTTAGTCGAATGATTACAAACTGGAAAAAAAATTTAAGAATAAAACTGATTTCTACAAAATCTTGGGAGAAGCTAACCTTTCTTTAGAGAAAATTGCAGTCTTCTCATATTTCTATAAAATGAAATCATGTCATGAAATTTCTTAAAATGATAATTTTCAGTCCAATTATATTTATCTGATGAATTATATCTATAAATTATATCTAAAATATAAAAAAAATGACATCTAAAACCAATTATATCCAAAATAAATTATATCTAATAAAAAAGTATACCGCATACTTTTTCAAATCTAATTGCAAGTACCACATACAACAATCACTAGAACAAAGATATCAATTCTAGTTAGTAAAATACATTACTTCTCATTTAACTGTATGCATTAATACTTCACTAAATCTTAGGACTGCTATTCGACAAATAAGTTTGGTCAGAACAAAAGTTTAAAGTTTCTTCTAAGTTTGAAAATTTCCTTTGAACGTTCTGCCAGGAAATATAAGCTAATAGTGTCTTGTCTTTCTCCTACATTTAAACTGAATTGAAATTTCTATATCGTCACTTCAAGGACGTATGAACAAAAGCATGAAACGTGGGCATTACTCACAAATCGAGAAGACAGTATAACAATCATTCTGAAGAAGTGAAAATTTAAAGCCGATCGAGCGCACAATTTCGGCTAACTATGTGGAAATTAAAGATTCAATCAGTTTCAAAATTGTCAATTTTTGTTGAAGTGTAGGCATGACTGTACAAAGAAGAAAATACTGCCTACATACGCTGAAAATAATTATACCCTAGCTCTCTATGACATTTCTTCCGAGAAACGTGTTGCGATATGAAAATTGCAGTACACAAGATACGTACTTAAAGAAAGGACACTAATGAATATTGGTAGAGAGAGATGAATATTGGCAGATGGATAGCACAATACTAAAAACGTGGGCCAATAATGAAAACGAGTGGTTTAATAGCTACGTGGGATAAGAATACGAATTCGTGGCTGAACTCTACGTACACTGGCAAGTCTTAAAATTTCTATTTCCTGTTCCGGCAATCCATATAAATTAACAATTCTCGCGCCGTTATTTGCACTTTTCCTTTTTCCCAAATTATTCTATCACACGCGGTTTATTCAGGCAATATATTTCGCATCGCAGGACAAGTCATCTTATACTACTTGTGTCAAAATAGCGAAAAAATTGGGCAAAATTTCGTCTGAATGATATTAATTAAACATTCATTATATCAGTTTGTTGTGACCGAACAAAAAAGAAGCTGAAGATGTGCAGCAATAAACTGTCTCTATATTTTGGCTGGTATACAACGATTATGCTTTTACCTATTTCAATCATTCTTTATTTTTTACCAAAAATGACACCCGAAGATGGATTTAATTATTTGCCAATATTAACTGGTTACGTGAATCCTCTTGGATGAGACAGTGGGATACACATTAATAAAGAATATGAACTGCACTTGCATAAACCCATCCAACCTAACTAACCTCACGTGACCTCGTGCGACAACTACGTGCAAACCAAGAGACAACATGCGTTTCCCGCCACAAACACTCTCTATTTACTGGATTCATGCCAACATCCACTGTTGCAGCGCTATCTTGTTCTATTCTATTTGCTTAATTCTTGGAAGTATCAATGAAAAATTATTCGTAGTGTAAGGAATAGGTGCAATTTGCATGTGTCTAAATATGTAGACGCAACACTTTTCATTTAGCTTCAAACGCAGAGTTTATCATTGCAGTGAGTATAAGCACTCAATTAATCGAATAAAGGAAAGATGTGATATGAATTCAAATCATGCATGCATATGAGGAGAATATACAACTTTATGAGAATTTCTTGCCTTTTTGTAAGTTGCTTAACTTATGCAATAACAATGTCGAGAATGCCTGGAATATATTCCTAAAGGTGAGCAAATTAACATATTTTTAGAGAATGTGTGCAATTACTACTCCGAACACATTATTATATATTTAAAAATGAGATTATCTGGTACGCTCGAAAAGGGTTAGAAAAGTTCTCATTGTGCTCTCATTGAGGAGCGGATAGGAGTACAGCAATGCATGCCGTTGAGTAATATCACAGATTATGTTTATGCCATTCCATTATGCTATATACAAACAGCGTAAAATGGGCGAAGGAACGGAATTGTTCGATTAAAAGGTTTGGTTTGTCAAATAGTTAATGTTTCTTTGTCAATAAATTGGTGGTTTGTTTGTAACTTTTTTCTGTAAAACAGCAAGTTTTTTTCTCATTTAAAGGACAAAACAAAGATGAAATATTGCTGTTATCGACAAGAAGCATTTTAAAATGTATTTGAGACTTTCAGATGATATCAGTCTGCACTTAAAATCAAATTCCTGATTAAGAATAAATAAATTCCAAAACATCGCACTGCAGCTTCCTAAATTATTTTTTTATAGAAAGGTAGAAGGGATACGTAACGAAGTTTCCAATTGAAAAAGAGTAGGATTATTTAGCAATCAGTTTATTTGAATGAAAATAACTAAGATGAATTAAATCAATTAGAATCTGCTAAAATTTTGACTGGAAAAATTTTAATTAATCGAAATTCAGTTCAACTTTATAGTTTGTTTGTTGATACTGTTCTTTTTCCGCTCTGTTTCGTTTACTAATTGTTGCTAGTATCAGGTTATGAGCATAACGTAGAGCTGTTGACGATACGTTTTATTGTGATGAATACTTTATTATTACCCGTATTTCATTTTGTATTCTTATATATTTCTTTTTCCATACGTTTGTTTAATTGCCTATATTTTATTCAAATTTTGCCGTGAAGTACGGCAAAAGTTGCTAAAGTTCGAAATATTTCTCCCTTATGTCGTTTGTCATTTTTGCTGAAAATGCTCGATTAATTGATCAAAATACCATTTTTCATTTGAGAATCATTTTTTGCAGATTGCACTGATTAGAATTATGCAAACCAGTCGATCTAAAGGTTCCTTTCTCCTGTTTCAGGTCATAATAAATCACTATATTCTTCACAATGCGAGACTGTTAAATAAATATGTTAGTGTGAAAAGCTATAGACGGATATAATTCCTGAATTCGTTTGTTTTTAACACATAATATTGAGAAAATGAAGGCTGGAATAAACTGTGGTGAAAGTCCTTGACTTATCAGTTTCATTAAAGCTACTAAACAATGCTTCTCATGATAGCGGTTTTCTTTTTCTTTTTTTTAATTTTAAAAATCTGGATTAGTTATACTACAAGTGCATTAAATTAACTGACATCTAATTTGTTACCAAGCGATTCTCTTCCTATATGTTTCTACCAATTATTTCTCAAAAATTTATATGCTTTTAAATAATTCATAATTTTAGGGAAATGCTAAGTATCCATTTTTATTAGAAAGTGTTCCTATCAAAAAGGAAACAGTCAGCTAGATCTGGAAATAGCAGCTGTTTGGTCTGTTATTTGTTTCCATCTCATGGTTCGTCTCGTCATAATTAACAATTTGTTAATTTTGCAAACTATAAGGCTATTCCTATAGAGTTAAGAAAGATTACTCTTAAAAATTTTTATTGTTCTGTATTACCAGTAAACATTGTTCATTCCCTGAGCAATTAATATTTTCGAAAAAATTTACATATTATTTTCAAAATGTTTAATAGTACTTTGAAAAGATCATTTTGGTAGTTGAATCATTTAACAAATGTATGTATTATCGAGAAATTTTATCAAAAATCAGTCGTTATTCATCTCTTCATCTGATTGTGATTCCGAGAATTTTGAGGTATTGATTTGGCTATTGGTGCTGTAGAGGAAGCATTAGAATCCTGTAAATTATTTTTGTTTCATTGGAATTGACAGAAAGGTGTTATACAAATCATATTGATATTCTCTCTTCTGATTTAATTAGATCATAGTTGCAATTTTTTTCATATTGAATTAATAAAGGAACTTTTTTTTTGCTATGGTTTTTGTGACTTTTTTCCTGGTCCCTATATTTTAGTGAAATTTTAGTTATTGAATATGCTATACAGAAAATGTCTCAGCAGAATTGTTTCCTTTTTCATCGTTATTCATATCCGGAAATGTTACAGTAGATTGGTGCAGGCATAATGCAGAGGAGCTCAGATACTTACACTCTCTCATTGGACACAAGAATTTACCGTCACATTCTAAATTTCAAACAAATTCATAAGTGAATAAAGTCAGGTTATGATTCTTAGTTCAGAAGGGTTTTTGAAAATAAGCAATAAATATTAGTCGAAATTTGCAAAGTTTGGTTCAAATCTAACAGAAATTTGATAATTTAAGAACACATAAACAGAAGTATGATGGTAGGAAAGCAGTTTGTTAACAATAAATGCGAAAATGTAACTCACCTACAAGTGAACATTCATTAAGGCACATTCCACACAAGACATGTAGACAAGGAAATTTAGTTAATTGATCAACTAAGTAAATGTTACCACATATTCCGTCGCACTCTTGCATTGTCGGCTGTGATGATAAACTCAATGAAATTAGTTTGATTAATCTTTACTATGTGTTATGTTGCACCTTACAACACGACATACTGTAACATTTCGTTCTTCATTGTACATTAGCTTTCCTATTAGTTATGTGAGTAAATGACAATACAAAGCAAACTGTATATTTCGAATTACTAAATTTCACATGAATAAATAATCTCAGGGGAAGAGTGTTGAAGCTCCGAAGAATTTGCAAAAATTAACCATCGTTGAAAGTTCATAATCGCTATTGGAGGCTTTTGCATAAGTAATGTTCATAAAGACATGGGCATCAGTAGCGGAATGGGAATCGTTTGCGCAAGGTGTGCTCCTATTTTCCGACATCTTTCAATATAAAATTTTTTTGAAAAATTCAATATGTAGAGAATATTTTGAGTTTTATCAAATGTAAGCATAAATAATATCAAGATTTCATTAGAACTAATTTTAAATTATGTAAATTATTTTAACACTTCGTTGGAATAGAAGACGACACCTCTTACAACATGAGAAATAGTAGCAAACAACTGCGCAAAATGAGAAACGCTGAGCAAATATTTCTAGTAGCTGCATATTCAAATTAACTAGAAAAAACGAAAAAAAAAAAAACGCTGTTTATTCCTCCTAAAAAAATTCTGATCGTAATAAAAAAAAGTATTTATTTAATAGTTTGAATCCAAAACGAATATGGATAAATGAAATTTTACCAGAAGACTAACTTTCATCTTCATCCGAGAAACCGCGCTGTCTTCTGGCTGGTTCATTTAAGGGATTTAATTGCTATATTAGTTTGTTCACAAAAAATCAAGAGGAAACACAACGCAAAAACAATGTTATAAATGTGAATAAGTTTGTAAAAAAGAGATTTCAGGCTTTTAAACAAAATAAAAAAATATATTTTAAACAAATAAAAATATTTTCATCCAAATCCATATACTACTTTTACCTTTATACCCATACTTATTATAATAAAATACATTAATGCTAAACAATCATACTATTTTGTTTTGTAAAATTAACAAAAAGCTCTTAAATTGCGAATTCATTATTAGATTAGCTATTATTCCAGTTTTTTTTGTTGGCCGAGCAAAACTTTATCAGTGCTTGTCAAGTCCCTCCTATCAGCATAATTTTTTGGTTTTTCCCTTTCTTTGTTATTTTCCTAGTTTCCTTCTCAGTACAATGGATGTTGGAGGTATTATAAAAAGTTTGAAGGTATTCTTTCATTACGTTTTTTTATTCATACGGAGGGTAACTTCAAGAAGGGTAAAAATGAATTATCGTAGAAAGTAACTAGCAGAATTATTGTTCAACAAGCGCTTTCTCAATGTATTTCATTCCTCTTTCTTATCAAACAATTGCACATCTTAATTTTCATAAGCGAATTTCTATCTCACGAACTTCTCTTGGCTAACGTTTTGGTTGAAGTAACATGAATACACCGAGACACTTCATAACACCCTCTCTCAGGACATAAGCACATTTGACTCCCAGTGCTTTTGAAACACCTCAAATTTCTCTGTACAAGTGACGCCAGCAATGATTACGCTCTCCACAACGCCTCAATATCGACTAATCCGATTCATCAATCGACCAAAACTAAAATACTTCAACTGTTGGCTGTCTTATCACCTTTTCCATCTTAACTATCTTAACTCTCCACAGTATCCTTAGCCAATGACAAAATTGTACTTCAACTAAATCATTCTTAATTTCGAAATCGTCATCATCACTCAAACAATCATTTTGCTTTTTTTTTTATTTTCATAGTCATCTAGGTAGTTCAGTTTGCTTTCATAATTAACATATTTGTAACCATTCCATTCAAGTAATAATGACTTTCCACTTTCAAATGCTGAAGCTACTTTTTTTCAGATTTTCACTTGTTCATTAAAATCTCATTAGTATCATTAGAAAAAAAGTTAATAGTTTTGTGGATTTATTTCATTTTTTAGACTTTCATTGCTGATTAATGAGAATTAATAGATTCAAGCAAGTCGATAAAATAACTAATTCTTCTTTCAAAATTCAGTGATTCGTTCCAAAGCTAATTTCGATTTATTACTAAATGTTTGCAGTAAGAGAAGTTTCATCACTGTAACCCTGTGCACCCACAACTAGTTCTACTCGATATTACAGTAACAGGAAAACAGTTGCATGCAGTGGCATATTCATTTTAAAAAATAGTGTTTCCATATAATTTCAAGCCACTTCAAGGAAAAAGTTTTTTTGGAAGACAAAAAAGTTACGATATGTTTTTTTCTTGCTTGTTTTTGAAATTGTCTTAAAAAAGCATTTAAAATAGAAAAATAAGTTGAACTATAACGAGAAAGATGACGCCTTGTTCTCATTAACATGTATAAGGAATCAGGATCTTAATTAGCAGCTAATTAAACTAAGACACATACGAATGGATAAAAGATTTTTATCGCTTTGCTTCTATATTATTACAATTTTTTTCTGCTATATCTGTTTATACTAATTCATTTTAAAGATGTTTTTCCAATTTTTATTTTTCATCTTATAGCTAAACTTGCATAATCCATTTGAATAAGTTATGATGCAAATGTATTTCATTTATAATTGCCCATGACATTTCATTGATCAATCATCTTATATTGCATCATTTATTTTGAGCGATATGTTGCCAAAGTTGGCAGAAGCATTTCCGAATACTTATGATGAGGATATGATGCTATATTCGGTTCGAAAAAAGCTTTCTGAATTGGATTCTATGGACTATGATAATAGTAGATGCAAAGTCGTTACGCAAAAGCTATTTGCTTTTTAACCACGTATTATCCACTTTTCGGAAATAATTTTTAAGTTTGATTATTTGGACCTAATGTAATAATCCTTATAATCTTATTTGGAAGCTAGAGGACCAATAAGGATAGGAATCTTTCTGCCTACATTATAGGATCGGTACTTAAATTAGTTTTTAATAAAATTCCATCTTCCATAAAATTAATCAATAATTGTTCCAAACAGAGAAAATAGAAGTGAACAATATTTAGTACTGGAACATGGAGCAATTGAGCAAATCAGTAAAAAAATAGAACATTCCATTAACGAAACGGTAAATCAGGAACCGAACGAGCAGCGCGGAAAGAGGAATCATTTCCTCTCCCTTACTTCGGTTCTTTTTTTAGCAAATTTACATTAAACTTCTTTCAGCTTCATTTTTTGCGAGTTATTTAGCGATCACAATGAATCTATTATCAAAACATAAATATTTTAGTGCGACATTTTAATATTGCAGTATTTCAGTAGGGTAATAATCCCCACCTCACATACATATTCTTAATACCACCAACTTTTTGTTTCTGGCAACGAACCTTCTTTCCTGAAACAGCTTCTATTAGAATCTTTTATGAACTTACCGTATCACATAATATTTTTGCTTCTACACGGATTGATTTCTGCATGTTCAAACTTTCCATGAAATGCCAAAAAGATTATCTCAAATTTTATTAGAATGAGGGGAAATGACTAAAGTTGTTATCAGATCGAAAAATTTAGTATTCTTAACACTTATCTGATGTTAAAATCTCCCTAAAATTACACAGAATGGAAGGAAAACTTGAGGGACTTTTCATGACAGTGGCCATTTTCCTTCAAAGCTCATTATTGATCTAAGAGGTCACACTTATACAACACCCACTTTATGCCATTATCGCTATTGCTACTAACTTCATCTCTGTGATCATCTCTCCAACACACTTTTGGAAATAGTTAGTTTTTCATTTAAAACTCGGTCAATTTACATGTTCAAATGATTGAAAATCAATTTTTACTGGTAATTAAATTGAGCACACGGCCTTGTGGCCTAATGGATAAGGCGTCGGACTTCGGATCCGAAGATTGCAGGTTCGAGTCCTGCCAGGGTCGAAACAGCATTTTAGAGGGAAATAAATTAACGCATCACCTTGTTCATGGAACTAACTTTTGGAAAAAAAAAAGGAAATTTTGCAAATTGCTTTGAGATATTGAGGATCTTTCCGAAATTTTAGACTTGTTTCGATTTTTTTCCGCTATGCCAATAAATCAGAAAGGCCATAAACTCATTAATTAAGACGGTTCTCAGCTTAAAATGATTCCAAGCCTAGATACTAGATAGGTTTTTCTAGAAATCGTGAATTGTTCTCTAGTCCAGTGCAATTCAGTTCAATCTAGCCAAGTTGTAAAGTTGTTCAGGTTATGCTAGTTCTTTCAACTTTTCTGAGACTTCACTTTTCTTTTAATTTTTTTTTGTTAAGCTGTTAATTTTTTCGTCATTTTACATGAACAGTAAGTGGATCATTACTGACCTTTCCACTCACCAAAAATTCCTGTTTATTCATGGACTAACTCAGGGATTTAGCTATTTCTTGATAATTTGTTCATATTGAACTGGACTATATTTTTCTCGAAAATCTTGTCTGCAATAATCCTCGCCAAAATTCATTCTAATTTATTTATTAAGATGATTTCATAATCATCGTCCAAAGTACTGATACAAATTTTTTCTATTAAAATCTCTTTCCATTTCTTGTTATAAAAATTTCATGATATTAGTCTACAGGAGAAAGCTAAGATACAAGTTGTGTTCCTTCTACCCTCGCCATGACAATTCTTCTCTACTTTCAATATCAATGATTAGCAATATAAGTAAAATGCAAGTCTGTTGGCCACAAGATCCGCAATATATGAGCCAAAATTTCCATTGCAGCTAATTATCTTACTCCTTTTCACTAGGCCATTTAACATCACAACATAAGCACCGAATGTAAAGACTTGGAAAATATCAACTTTTGTTTAGTCCTTAATTAAGCAGGATGTGTAGATTTCACTCTAACTTAATTGAGAAATGTTTGTTCTGTTTATTCTGTTTGCTCATAAAACAAAATTAAATTAAGCAAAATTTCAACAAAATCAAACTAAATATTAAAATAAGGAACTGATTTCAAAACTTTACATTGTTGCAACATCACTTCACAACGAAGTCAGTTGAATAATCATAAATAATCGCTTTCATGAAACAGTAGCAAAAGTGCAAGGACGCACATATCAAATCAACCTGAAATCACTCAAAGTCCCACCGCACTACTCTCACCTCAACTGTCAGGTAGCTTGGCACCAATACCTACCCTATACAACTCCAATCATCAAAAATCATTCCCGTCCCAACTGCTTCAGTACATTGTTGTATTATGTGAGTAACCATATCAGACTCGCTCGTTTTCCTTTACTGCAGAGCGAAAAAGGGGCTCACGACCCTGGCAGGACTCGAACCTGCAATCTTCGGATCCGAAGTCCGACGCCTTATCCATTGGGCCACAGGGCCACATGCAATTCCTTTTCTCTTTGTGTGATGTTATGGAGAATAAAGTATGGTGAGAATTTCAATTGAACATGGAGAGGAAAGACGGACTGCATGCACGTTACGGCACGCAAAAACCAATACACGCAGATCTAACTTGCAGCGGAGAGCTGCATAATAACTGCTTTCAACATGCTCTTTTGAATACACTGTGGTTCTTGCAGATGTACAGTGACGTATCTTCTGTGCTGCTTGACATAGCTGAGAGAGAGAGAGGGAGGAAACAGGGAGAAAGGTGTGGAAGAGACCAAACTCGTGAAGCAGGCCCGTGCTGTCGTGGTACATGGATGCAGTCTTCAGATGACAATAGTGATGAGTCGTAGTGCCGCTGGGATGGCGGAAGAGCGGAAAGCGTATCATCTCACATCTCACGTCCTCTGTCACATCCCTTAGTGGCAATGACAGTGAACCAAAGAACGCGGAAAGATATTAAAGTTGCTGATGAGTCGAGCTGTTGAGGAGATTGGGCTGTTGGGCGCATTATGTAAGTTTATTGTACTGAGGTTGATGACTGATGCCGCCGATGTATGCACGCCAATACATCACTGTTTGGCTTGGCGTTGCATACAACTATTACTTATAAATGACTTGAAATGAATCGATAAGAGGTGCACTGCTCTATTGATTTTATCGGCTCATTTGTTCATTGAGCACACATCAATTTCATAATGGTTATGCTTTTTAGAATGGTACACGAATAGGCATGCATGAACATGCAGCATGCATTCATTACTTCCACTAACTACCGTAGCAGATTCCTACTATTTAGAGATAAGCGCAAAGTAATCAAATCAAATGAATGCATTGGTTAGATTAGGTAAATGATCTCAATCATTCATTAATAATGTGCAGAAGACTCGAGCATCACTACCAATCAATATCATTGCCAATTTCTCAATTGTAAAGTGTATCAAACATCATTTGTTCAATTGATCAATTTAATAGCAGAAATAAGCCTTACAGCAAAGTAATAATAAAAGTTTTTAGAGACAAAACAAAATATGTAATTAAAACTTTATTTTCTCCTCAGCGATTCATTATCAATGAGTGGATCCTTTATATTTACATCTGTGGTACTGAGAGAGATCTAGATAATCTCAGTGAAATTAGCATTTGTCAGAACGAAATCATCCAATCAATCAATCAGACACATTTTAGACTTCGGCATTCAGCAGTTACTGAGCAGTGAAATGCAACAACCGCCTAATTCAGCGCAACATTGCGAGAATCCACCTTTCTGTTGCTTATTATTCTCCTTCTGATTTACTCTTACGTCTGAAATTTCTCACCTGGATTTATTCTAAAGACGGAAATTTGTATGCTTTTATTTTCTTTAATAATTTTTTGTTTGCTTTAGTAATTAAGAATTATTAAGAGGATGCTTCTAAGATAACCACAACAAAATATCATTAAATCAATACTGGAAATGACTCATTTTGCGCATGACTGCATTTGGCGGGGATCCGCAGAAAGTTTTGAAATGCGTGGAAGAAAACGAACCAGTAATCGAGACTTGATCGTGCATCTCTTCCCTGATTTACTAAAACTTTGTAATCCTACCGAGAGTTCCCTACTTAAATATTTAATAAAATAACCTCCATCAGTCTTTATTTTGGTACCACTGGGAGATAAATTTGTCGGCAATGGTTGCATGCCAATAATTGTTGATTTCGAATCGTATTGTGAGGAAAATGATGGCTGTAAATATAATTCCGGAAATACAACGCTTCGATGTACTGCTGTATATATGTAAATGCAACTAATATCATATCATATATCTATCTATCAGGTAAGTATAAATACTAATCAAGAAATTCAGAAAGAAAATTATAGCTTGCGATCAACTTTGAGCTATTTAAGATCCTTAAAAATCGTTAAAAAGTCTTCTTTCCTATCCTTTCCTTTTATCACGTGGAAACCAACATTAGTTTTAGATTTGATTTCATTTATCTCTTCTACAACAATCGATCCGACCATTTCAGCTGGCAAACTATGCTCTGATCTCTCCTTTGCTATTTCTGCATGTCGACTTTTACCTTCAATACAAAACACATTTCATAGGAAATCAAATTTGCTGAAAAAAGCAAAGACAAAAACTTAAAGTAAAACATGATGTGAGGTATTGTAGAACTAACTTTAATTTATTTTTAGTGGTATCGTACTACATCCGGAAATTTACCTGAATTTTCAAGTCCTGCTTTCTATTCCTCACTTTTTTTTGAGTAAATTCAAGTGGTTTTTAGAAAATTTTAATGTTTTTAAGACTTGAGTGAAGCATGACTCTAATCAGAAGTGACAGGAAGGTGGACGGACTTGAAATGAATTAAAATAATGAAACATTTCTTTGCTTAAAACTTATAAGTCAGTTTACTTCAGGTCACAAGAAAAGTTCCTTTTATTTATATCAGGTTGTACTGGAATAAATGACATGTATTCACCAAAATTCTATGAACTACTGCATTTTAAATAAAAAAAAAAGTTTAAGTCTTTATTAAAAAAGAAAATAAAAATCTATAAATCTGTGAAAAGAAAATGTTATATGCAAATGCCAATTGAAGTTAAACCAACTATCTGTGCATTAAAAAGTTAGAAAAACATTCAAGTTTGGATTAAAATATTTATCGAAAGAAATGGATAATTTTAGGCATGTGAAGTATTAGGAAGACAATAAAGGTTTTGATATGAGTTGAATTTAGAAAAGAATATTTGTCATCACCATCTTTTAATCTGGTACCAGAAGAACATGAGCCATAATTATGTCCATAATGTCTTAATACTATTCGGGTTGTCGAGGGTTCAGCACTTCAACAGTTTATTGCATAAAAAAAAAGGTATGAATAAATTTACCCATAACGCTTATAACAGCCTTTTTTCACGTCTTCTGAATTAATAAATCAAAAAGAGATTAAGAGAATGAGGGCTAATAAAAGAAGGTTATTTTCTGTTAAGATTGGGAATGTTAAGGTTCAAAAAAAGAACATCGATCGAGAAAAGGAAAGTTTTAGTTTTTATTGACATATTATGGATAAATGTGAAGATAATCTGATAGATTATTGCAATGAAGACTGTTTCTCCGCTTACTCACTTTCTGAGAATTTTAAATACCTGTGAGGAATGGAATTTTTAAAAATGGGTGAAATGAAAACTGTAAAAGTATAAGCTATGATTGATAGGATAACTTTATTGAACACTGCCAACAGATGTCTCAGCTGTAACTTTAAATGAACATCAAAAAAGGGATGTACATATAAATAGGAGAAATAGACTAAAAATTAAATGAAATAGGAATTAAAAAACAAAGTAATGATAACTATTAAATCGTTCAGGTAAGAATAATGCAATATATATTCCTAATGGTCCGACTTACGGGGCGGAGACAGTCCTGTGAATCATTTTACCATTTAATTAAATCACTTTCTGTTGGCAAAGTTGTTCCACTTCGCTTAATTTATTATGAAAACTTCAGGATGAAAATGAATTGAATTATGAGCCGGGTAATGGATGAGTTACGATTTAAGAAGTTTTCTATATAAATATTTGGAGTTTCAATCACATTGAAATAAATAGTGAAGAATTTTGTCCCTAAATGTAATGTATTTCTTCCTTTGAAGATATCTTTCTATAATTTTAGCAGTCAAAATAGCAATAAAATATATTCTCACCGGATGACACTGATCGTTGACAACAGCTGCAATCGTTTTTGTCAGTAAGTAAACCGTAATTGTCATCGCCCATTTCAATTAAAGTGAATTCATGAGTAACTCTTAGACCATTCTCCAAAACCCTGATGTTCTCATATAAACAGTAAAAAGAAAAAAATTATATTAAAAAAAAAGCATTAAAAAATAATGTCCTCATATGGAAAAAAAAAAAAGCAATTATTTAACAAAATAAGTCAAATAAAAATATTTTCCAATACTAGATGTAATGCAGAAATTTGGAAATTTTTGAAAAGAAAATTAGTAAAATTAAAAAATTCACCAAATTTACTTGGAAATATTTAATAGAATTGTAATACAGAGTTAGACTTACCAGTGGATTACTTCTTCTTGAAGATCTGATTTTGAATGCTTTTGAAGGAGTCGACCAGGTGAAATGACTTTAATTACAACCTCAAGTTCATTTTCTGACATTTCCAGAAGAGTTCGCTTTATCTTCAACATTTCCGGTTAACTTCCCTGTAAAAAGCTTGATCACGAAAAGCGATGGAATCAGTAATTACGCCATAATCGTCATCGTCTACTTCAGTTACATGAATTTAATTAAATCAGAGCTTTCTAAGAATCCATTTGTAGAAACAATGATATTCCTAGTGATAGAGGCTAGAAATAACTTATATTCCTCCCTAACTTATATTCCGAATTCTTGAAACAACTAAATTCCGTTTATTTTATTTCTTGTCATTAATTTCTAAAACTCTTGCCTGTTGGTAATATTATTAAAACATCAATTTATTCCTCTATTTAAGTTTGACTAATTTCCTAAGAATGAAATATCTGAATTGGAATACCCAATATATAGTCAAATTCACAGTCAGTTATTACTACATTAAACTATTTGTATTTGTAAAAGTTTATCAACAAAAATGTTGATAAACTGATCTCAGTAATCGTTTCGGATAGAACACTTCTGAAGTTTGCCATCGAAATTCATAACTGTTCTCAACTAAAACAAATCATTACCACTATTATTTGCAATTTTGCTAAAAACGAATCATATGAATCAAATATCGATAAAGTAAACACAACGAAAACATCGCTTATTGGTGCAATAACATAATAGCGAAAATTCCACAGTTCCGGTTCTGTCAATATATTTGTAAGTAATAGGTAGGATCGGCTTTCGCTTTAGATTACTGATTACTGAAAAGCGACAGTATTTGTTAATTAACATTGCTCATGAAAGGAATGTAAATCTCTTCGATGAGCGTATCGGAAAGAAAAGAACTGTTTTAAATGAGCGATAAATACCTCATTAGCAGCACATTAGTAGCAGTTTAGAAAAGTAAGTAAACTTTAATTAATAAAAAAAGATTTTGTGCTGAATAAGTAAGTTATTTTGGTAATTGACCATGAATGAAAAATTATGAAAGATTTTTTTGTGTGCTTTTGATTAACAACGTAACATTAACAACATATGTGTGCAGATTATTTACGGTTGATTGACCGTATTTATATAAATTTTTTTTTTAAAATTTTTTTGAAAGTTAAAAAAAAGAAAACAAATTATTTGAGGAAAAAGCTTCAGTAGTTGAAGCAGTGGTTTAAGTAATTTCATTTTTAGCTTTTTTCGACAAACTTCTATTCTTAAATTATTTTTAAAA